TAAATACCATCACAGGTTGCTTTTCAATTAATTCTTGAAGACGTGTAGATAAATCTTTATCTTTGGGTAACATTTCCTTGAATTCACCTGATACAATCATTTCTTTAATAATATCCAAACCACCCATTAATTCGCCGTTAACATATACTTGTGGGTAAGTGGGCCAATCAGAATATGCCTTTAATCCTATATCAAAATATAATAGAATTAATACAGAATACTTTTCTAATAAGAATAATATATATATATATATATATTTTATTTTATTTTTTTACCTTGACGAACGTCTTCATCAGCCAAAATATTGAATGAACTATATTTGACTTTTTCTTCTGCTAATAATTCAACTAATTGACGAGAGAAACCACAACGAGGCTAAAAAAATAATATATATATATATATATGTATACGAATTAGATCTATTTGCATGACTAATCAAATCAAATGTCCTTTTGTTTTCTTTACCTGTTGAGGAGTACCCTTAATAAAGATCATAACAGGTGCACTATTCACAAGTGCCTTAAGACGAGAATTAAGATCTTTGACGGGCTTGACACCAGTTTCTGTGCCAGCTGCAGCTGTATTGGCAAACTTATTCAATACACCCTTGGCGTGCTTGGCAACGGCATTGGTTAATTCAGCTGCCTTTGCACCTTCGATTTGGTCAGCAATTTTACCACCCTAGTGATTAGCACGTATGTTAGTATATATAAAAGACCAAGTATCTTTATAAGATATTTACCTTGAGGATAATAAAAGTGGGAACGGCAGAGATCTCGAAACTTTCAGAAATGTCAGGATATTCTTCTGCCTCAATCTAAAATATACAAACAGTAATTAGCCAATGTAAACATACAAAATACAAAATAAACCTTTACCTTTAAGAATTGGAGAGCAGGAAACTTGCCAGCGAGTTCAGCAAATACTTCATTCATTTGTTGACAAGGTTCAGCCCAAGAAGCCCAAAAGTTTAATACATGAACTGAATCTTTCTTTGCTACAAGTTCATTGAATTGTGCGTCAGAACTAATCTCTGTTAAATTGACCATTATGTTAAAAAGAAACTGGAGGAAGAAGAAAAAAAAAATTATAAAAAAGAAATCTTTTTATTTTTTGCTTTTTACGTGATTGGTGATAAGAGTGTTTAACAGCCTTTGATTGGTAGATATAAAGGTACAGATCAGACTTTTGAAACCAAGAAGTCTGACAGGCAAAAAAGATAAATAAAAATCAAATGCAATTGCACATTTGATTACATACCACAGGTCGATGTGGATACAGGTAAACTTTCTATTCTCTTATTCTATAATATACAAATACATGTAAAATTTCATATCTACATGGATATTCGAGGGAGTAATATATGAAGATGTGTGCCTGAGTCATGTAGCATAGATGCTAAATAATTTTGTGTAATTTTAATCTGATCACAAATCTTGGATTTATTAATACGTTAAACTTTGAAAATTTGGTACGTAAATGAGATACACCACCTTCCAAAAAACGATATATTAAAACTTGCAAATTATATTCATTTTATTAATTTTCCAATACAAATCTAAATCTAGGTTTTCCTGATCTAAAATCTTCGATAGCCTTATTTACATCAGACATCTTGTACGAAGTAATCCAAGGTTTTATATTTTTGTCGGCAGCAAATTGCATCATTTCTCTCATCTCGGAAGGAGAACCAGCACAAGAACCAGAAATATGGATTTGGTTAGCAAGTAATTCAAATGGAGAGATTTCAGGAAAGTTCCACTCGGGAGCGCTGACGTTCATGAATTTACCATTTACATGTAAGAGGTTCAAGAATGGTGTCCCTATACATAAAAGATAAAACTGTTAATATTTTCTTCTAATAATCCAAGATTTAAAAACTTACATTTGAAGTCTCTACCGTTACCAGTGCAAAGGATATGAGTTAACTTTTTTCTGTACCTTTGCATATCTTCAGTATTTGCTGTGTTGATATAGTCATCACAACCAAGTTCAGCGGCAACATCTCTCTTTTTGTCATTGTGAGACATACCAATAACAGTAGCACCCATAGCCTTAGCAAACAAAATACCAAAATGACCAAGGCCGCCTACAAAAAAAAAATATGGATGTCTTAGTCTATGTAAATTATACATTGAGATCACTTCAAACTACTTTACCAATACCCAAGACACCTACAACACTCTTTTCATTGACACCGTTATTTTTTAAAGGAGCATAAGTAGTAACACCTGCACAGAAAAAGCAAGCAGCGTCTTCACTAGACATATTGTCAGGTACCTTAAATACCCAACGATAATCACCTCTCCATTTATCAGCATAACCACCATAGGTTTTATCTCCTGTGCTCCATTTACTATTATATGTAGTTATAAAACCAGTTTCACAGACATTTTCGAAGCCCTCTTTACAAGCATCACATTCACCACAAGACTCACAGAGTGGCCCAACACCAGCACGGTCACCTACTTGAATGCCCTTCACATCCTTACCCACGCGAGTTACAACGCCAACAATTTCATGACCGACCACACAAGGAAAATCTGTTGGTCCCCAGCCTTCGTCTAAAGTGTGAATATCACTGCCACAAATACCACAATGCGTAATATCCAAATCCACGCAATCCTCGTCCCACTTTCGAAGATTCAATTCTGTTTGAGCGAGTGATTTTCCTAAAAAGAAAAAAAAAAAAAAAGTTAATATACATACAAGAAAATTTCCTGTTTATCTTCTTTTTTTTTTTTTTTACCTTTAGCAGTAGCTGCCCATCCAGTAAAAGTATCAGTCATAATTCAAGAGTTATAAAGTTAAAATAATTAATGTGGAAACAAATATACTTCAATTTGACAACCCTTATATACGTTTATATTTGATTCCCAGGTATCATCGGGATAACAAAAGATATAAACCTAAAACTGAGAATTCATTTGCTCTTGATATGATTAATTACAAACAAACGTCATTGTTATAATAAGCTACATTGAGTTATTACATATTATGAATTCAATTTTGAAAAATATATATCTTTTCGGTTTTATTCGCCTTTTTTTTTTTCTATATAGCTTTGAATCATCACACACAAAATTACTTGCTGTATAGTTTTAAACATATATTGAATTTCTTCGCTCAGACAGCCTAAGAACCATCTTTGGTGTAACGACAACGGGTAAGTAACCCAAAAAAAACATTCTTGTTGCGTATGCGTTTTCCAAATATATTTTTGTTGCACCGACGTATCATAAAATAGGAAGAGCATACGTAAGTATTCTATTTGGACCGATTTTTGAATGTTAAATAAATTATTTCTGAACTGAATTGTTGAAGGCTCAAACGATTAACCGTATAGAAGAAACCACTACCTTCTTATTATTATTATTTTTATGTTCTAGACCTTTCGTACCTCAAGTTACATCCCACTGCGATATGTGACCCATTGCTTTATTTTATTGATTTTCCTCTGAATTCAATTTTACAAAAAAAAAAAAAAAAAAAAAAAATAGAAGATACGACATAAGATCTTTAACAATTTACTGTAACACCTGACAAAATGCTTTCTTCTGACAACTCCTCCGTGGGTCAAGAATCTAATCTCTGGCCCTGGTAAGACATATACAATATTACCCGAGATTTAATAACTACCGTTTAATCCAGTAAGACATTCTGGATATGGGTTGTGAAAGTAACGGTTGGGAAATAATCATTGGAAAAAAAAGCAATGATGATCGCTGCCAATATCAGCTACAATAAGGCGCATGTCAAAATAGATGAAGATAGGTAATTAACTTCTTAAAATAAAATAATAACAAAAATTCAGCTCTGAAAAAATCTGTCCAAATAATAAAAATCATATTCTATTTTTTTTTTTTTTTTTTTTTTTTTTTTTTTTTTTTTTTTTTTTTTTTTTTTTTTAGAAGAGTGATATCTTACATAATTTTACTCTTTCGACGTCTTGCATGACAAAAACCTGCTTTATTAATTATTTGTGTATTTAATTTTGATTTCACTGAAATAATGTAGCAACGGCCATGTGCCGCATTTTTTTTTCAACATTAGATTTGTGTTGAATCGTTGAGTTAAAATCCTGTTAAAAGTACAGCTATCACTCTACAATAATTAAAAAGGCAGATAAAAAATGTTTCTATACGACGTATATTAATGGTCGATAAGTCAAAGAAGCTGGTAGTGGGTGAGTGAGTCAATAGCCGAAGGTAGAAGTAGACTTTAAAAGAAGAAAAGACTGAATTTTATGATTGACAAAGTATTCACACAATTTGACACCATGTTGTGTTATTTAAAATAAATTCCAAGATTAGGGCTGGATGTATTATCTGAAGATCTGTATCTGTATCAAAATTTGGGTGCAAAACCTTGATCTATTATCATGGAGATAGAAATTTAGTTTCAACATATTTCTCGTAACTTTTTTCTTTTTTTTTTAAAAGAAAAGCGATGTTGCTCTATTGTACCTGTTGTTTATGACAATTTATTTATTTACAAACAGGTGATATACTCATATCTCAGAGGTGCCAATTTCTGTTAACTTATTTTTTTTTTTCTTTATTCCCATTTGGACTTTTTTTTACAGTAACAAGCTATTCTTATTTTATTTCTTTTCTTTTGCTTTTTTTCTCTTCTTTTTTCTTTTAAAAAAAAATAAATAATGCATAAGGAGCCAGTAAAACACATTATTATTTTTTGGATGTACTATATAATATCGGCTACTCTTTTTGTCTTGTACTAGAGTTATAACGCGAATTGTATCCCTTTTTTTAAATGGCTGTTAGTAATAAGGGGGAGTTTTTTTTTATATATATGAAAAGCCTCATACTCTACTGTATAGTTAATAGAAAAAAATTTTTTTTGACTCTATCTTAGCAATTATAAAAAGTTTAAAATCGGCGCAAATTCGTTAATTGTAGCTAATCACGTGAATATCACGTGAAAAATTCAGAATTTGCGTTGAGTATATAGTTGTGCTTTTTTCAAAATCGACAAGAAATGCTCTCGTAGCTCAGTTGGTTAGAGCGTCGTGCTTATATTGTTAAGATATACTAGAGTCACGCGAAGATCGCGAGTTCGATCCTCGCCTAGAGCACATTTTTGCATTATTTTTCGGCGGTTTTAAAATTAAGGTTTGGGCAAAGTTACACGACATATAAGCAAAATTGTGTACGTTTTGAATTTCTGTATACAGTTTTTATATTTTTTTAAAAAAATGAACTCTCTTTTAAAGAAAAGAAAAGGAAAAAAAAGTCTTTAGGTACCGTTTTAGCTTTGACTCCGTAAGGTTTGTGTGACAAGCAAAAAAAAAGAAACGCTTTTAAAATGACAGTTCTGTGACTTAAATACGTGATATTAGTCTTTTTGCTCTTTCATGACAAGGAATATCATATGAATTAAGGGTAACTCGTCTATTTTTGTTCGTTTTGCTTGAGCGACCAAGCATTACTCTCTTTTTTTTTTTTTTTTTTTTTTTTTTGCATGAATGTTGTCTTTTTTTTTTTAATGTAAGCTTCTTGCGATGATTTAAAATCTTTCAATGAATGGAGAGGCGATCCAAAATAAAGCAAACAATAGAGATCTTTAAGCTGTAAATCTTTTTAACACACTTTATTGATACAGATTTTCTACAATGCTATGTTATAGAAATAAAAAAAATGTATGTGTGTAGCATATAATTAAAGCCCCAAAAGACTTGATAACACGCCAGACTACTATATATATAGTTACCGAGTAAGTTGATGTCAATTGAGAATTAAATATCTACAAGAAATAATGCTTTGTATTTAACTAGCTTTGTCAAGAATAGATATTCTTCAAGTGGGCTGTTTTGCCTAATGGTTTGTGTTACATATCATCAGTCTTCATTCGAGAGGAGCAACAATGTTTATTAGGAGGTTGAAAGCTGATATATTATTATTCAGATATCTTGAGTGCATCAATTTAAACTTGAAGCAGTAGAGGTATATGGAGGATATATTAAATATTATCTAAACGTCACTTTTCTTAATAAGTTAATTTATTTGTATATCATGACCGTAGTCCACTCACCCTCTCTCACTTGACTCCTACAAAATGACAAAAAATAACAACGATTATCCAGGTGAGTGGTAATAATGAATGTAACAGTAAAAGAACAACAGGTTATCACTCTCACCATGTGCTTTCAATTTTACGATGTTTTTGTCGCTTGACATTGTTTTTTATTTGGGTTTACGTTTTTTTATCCACTTGAACTCTAAAATGTTCTTTCACAGGAAATACTTGTACATCAAATCCAATTATGAGCTTTAAAACGTCATAATAATTTTACCATGGGAGATATCACGCACGTCGATCTATTCTTTTTTGTATAATCATTTGTTTACACAAGACAAATAATGATAATACAGGAGCAAAAAAAAAAAAAAAAAAAAAAAACTGAAAATGTCATAAAGAGTTTAGTGCATATATAAACTATGTAAAGAAAACAAACCGATTGTTACTACTAGGCAGGTAGTACCGTTTATTATACGCCATTTTCTTGTACTCATAATTCTATGCATATATTCTGATAATAATAATAATAATAATAAAAAGCAGTGTCTTTTTGAAAAGGGTTCCGAGATGATAGAATTTATTAAATCGTTAACCAATCAGAAAGTAGTAAACAAAGAGTTTCTTTTTTTGCCTGCATGTTATGTTTTTTTACCCAAGGCATGTAATAATTTGCAAGCATTTTATCCCAAGTGATTGATTTTTTAGTCTTAAAAAAAAAAGGGACGTTTCGTTCATCAGCTGATTCAGTCAATAGGTCACTTGAATTTAATAAAATCAGGGCAGTGCCAGCTGATCTCATTATTACTGCTTGCTGCGCTTGAGCCATGTTTTTTTTTTTATACTAGATGTGAGTAGCTTTTAACAATTTTTACTTTTTCAGGTCTTTAAAAAAAAAAAAGCTGAATAAAATAATGTCAATTTAAGGTTATATGCAGATACTTTAATTCGTGCTCTATTTAAAAAAAAATAGATCGAGAAAGTCGTTGAAAGATAAGAAAAAAAAAAAAAACTTGACACTGAAAAATGACATTGATTATCCATTTAAAGAGAGGTTCTTTGTACAAGTATTGCTGCGACATAAAAAGATTTCATTTGGTCATAAATAGAATAATTGACAAAAAAAAAAAAAAAGAGGTCATTTGAGATGGTCTGTGCCACCTTCCAACCACTTTTTTTTTCCTCTCCTTTATTAATGAATAGAAAGAGAAAGAAGTATTTTTTTTTTAAAAAATAAAAATAAAATAAAATAGAGTGTACAGTTTTAAAAAGTAGTTGAAAAGAAAAAAAAGATAAAGGTTACTGAAAACGGAACCTAAAAAGGGAAAGGTTGTGTTATCAGCTGAGAAAGATGTATAAAAATATTTTATCTTTTTTTTTTTTTTTTTTTTTTTTTTTTTTCCTTTCTTTTTCTTTACTTTACTTTATATAAACCCTTTCTTTTTAAATGTATTCTACAAATCAAGAATTTCATATGGATAATCAAGATCATATGTTTGTCAATAATCAACCAAGAACACGAACAAGTTTAAATCAACAACATTCACCATCGTATCACAATATTCATCATTCTAATAATTTTGGACCTATGGCAATTAATCCTTCAAGTACAGTTGCCAATGGTGGTGGACACAGTGTACCTTTTGCTGATTCATCTGCAAATTGGTTTGGTACAAGTTTAGACTCAAATGCTTCTTCATTTGGTCAATCACCTGTATTCGGTGGAAGAGATATTTTAGTCACTCCTTCAAATTCTACAGGTCATTTAATAGACGGTTTTAATGCTGGTGACGATGACGAATTAAGTCAGAGAAAGTACAGTATTTTTTTTTTTTTTTTTTTTTTTTTAAAAAAAAAAGCGTGAGAAGATTTTTTATTAAAACTTGTATATATAGTCATCAAGAAATTTTTGAAAAAAGAAGAAGAAGACGTGAATCACATAATGCAGTTGAAAGAAGAAGAAGAGATAATATTAATGAAAGAATTCAAGGTAATAAATATATTTAGATATATATATATATGTACATAAATGATTAAATATTATTAAAAAAAAAAAAAAAGAGTTATCAACTATGTTACCTGATCATTTATTGGAATCCGTTCCTGCTAGCTCAAATGTGATGTCTGTTGCAACAGGTCAAAATGGGGCTAATGGTAAACCTATCAATAAAGGTACTATCCTCAAATTATCAGTTGATCACATCAAAGAGTTGAGAGAAGAAGTGACAAATTGTAAGAGTAAAATTCAAGAGCTTGAACGTCTTATTGAACTTGCTAAAAGAGGAGAAATAGACCATCGTTTAAAACAAGAAGATAACAACAATAATATCGATTTATATACACAACAACAAGTAATGCATAATATGATGAATCAACATAATAATGCAAGATCAAGACATGAGCGAGTTGGTTCAATACAATTTCAACAACAATTTGGAAAACTTCATATCACAGGGGATGAACAACAACAAGCGTAATAGTTTTATACACATTATAAAATAAAATACCCCTCCCTCCCTCCCTCCCTCCTTCTCTTTTTTATATATATACGTATATATTTATATTTTTGATACTATACTTACTATTTTGTGTAGCCTCACAATTGCCTTATTTATATTCTTGTTGTTGTATCACATATACAAACATCTCACCCACACAATTATTTATAACAAATAAATTTCATTACCCTTTATTATTATTATATTAATGTTAAAATAAAGCAACAGTTTTGCTTTTTTAGAATTTTGGCGGTAAAGGTATATTTTGAATTAAACTCGCATGTTACTTTCTCGATCATTGACGGGAGTCTGATATTAAACCTTGTTCTTATTGTCCATCCTAACACAAACAACATCAGCCCCGCCCAAAATAAAAAAAAAGAAAAGAAGGAATTTAGTTTAACTAATGTTCTTGCTCAGTGGACAATGTATGTATTGGTTTGGTACAACCTTTTGCATATCGTATTACTTATAATGCAAAGACACGGAAAGAAATTACGGCATTATATAAATAAAATATTTATTCAAAATTAATCAAGTAAAATGAGCTAATTGAAGATCAACAAAATCTTCAATGGGTTTAATAGGTTCATGAATAACACCCGCATTTAATAAAGTGGATAAAGTAACCTTGATAGCTTCTTTTGAAACCTCTTGAGTGTCTTTAGCATAATGAACCGTCTTAAACCAACGACGTACATCTTCTTCAGGATAATTCAAGATACGCATAACATGTTTGACAGATTCATCCTCCTTTTGTTCCATAAAGATTTTAGTTGCCTTTTCAATTGCCTTTAAAACCTTGGTCAAATCTTCAACATGTTCTTTTAATAAATCTGTATGAGCTGCAAACATAAATGCTGGCCAAGGTGGTGTAATTTGTCCAATACGCTTAATTTCACCTGAATCATGATAAGGCTTGGTTGTAAATGTTTCCCACATGAAATAGTCACAGCTACCATCATTCACTCCATCTCGCATACGCTTAAAATCATTCAACACTGTAAATTCAAAAGGTGTCTCATCCTTCTTTAACCATTTTCTTTGCTCTGCTAGTACATAGGCCATAATATGAGATCCTGAGCCATAACGTGAAATAGCTACATTTGTCTTGTAAAGTGTATCAATTGAATCATGTCTCGAGTCCTTTCCTGCAGAAAGTGCCCAACCTTTTACAATCATCTGCATGAGTCATCTTTTTTTTTTTTTTTTTTCTGTTATGAATATCTATTGATTTATATACTTACAAAGTGGTGCATCCACAAAAGTACCTACAATTTTGTACCAATCTTGTCCTTTGCTAATACCTGCTACAAGTCCTTCAGTTAAAGCAATAGCTAAATCAAGTGATTTATCTTGAAGTTTTGATGTCATTTCACCTGTACCGCCTTTAAAAAAAAAAAAAAAACCATATGTTATCAGCTGTCTGTTATGCACATATAGAGTATATATTTTTTACCAGGACACAAAACAAGTTCAACATTAACACCAGTCTCTTTAAAAAAACCGAGGTCGCGAGCAACATACAAAGGGGTAGAGAAATGTTCAGGTACTAGTACAA